ATATTACTTTAATGAAAACTTGAAAATATTTTAGCGCCGAAAGTAAGTAAACAAGACGCAAGGGTGCCAGTCGATATAGCCAATTTCTCGCTCGAGTTGTATCCTTTACAGTATTTTCAAATTCCTAAAACAAAGTTGTCTCCATTTCCGGCCGAAATCTTACCTCCCTTAAAAGAAAAAATTGTATCACGTCTTAAAAACTTCCAAAAACTTATTTTACGAAATGCTGGTGGAATCATGACAAGTCGTTGCGATGTTTCATTGAAAGGGCAGCCATTGTGTCTATGCAAAATGTTAATTTGATGCTTCGGTGTGGCTAAAGAAACTGTGATGCTGCATCGGTGGGAGAGAATAAGAGGGCAATTAAGTATTATCAACTGAGTTGATAACGTAAATTGGCCTCTGTAAAGAAAAGTTGACGTTTCGAGCGTAAGCCCTTCCTCAGAGCGATTGACGAAGGGTTGACGCTCAAGACCTCAGCTTTTAAACTCTTTACGGTGGCAAACTCACGTTATCAACTCAGTTTATAAAACTAAATTACCTCGGAACAAAGCAAGCTGACTGCATTGAATGACAAAAGCAAAAACGTGCTTAAGACACGCGCTTTGACGTGAGTCTTTTCTTTTTTGCGCAGAACGCAAAAAGCGTGCAGAGGTTTTGCGTGTGCGTTGGCCAGGTACCTCTAAGCTCTACTATATATATATATATATATATATATATATATATATATATATATATATATATGTATACATAAGTAAGTTAAGTATATTTTCGTAGACGTCAGAGATTATTCAGCGTTAATTGATTTCCGGTTGATTTTTTGCGATAAGTGTGCTCTATATATATATATATATATATATATATATATATATACATAAAAATAAGCTAAGTATATTTTCATAGATGTTAGAGATTATTCAGCGTTAATTGATTTCCGGTTGATTTTTTGCGATAAGTGTGCTTTATATATATACAAATAAGTTAAGTATATTTTCATAGATGTCAGAGGTATATTTTCTGGGATAAGTGGTAGATGATTTAACAATAGGATCATGTAATATATTTAAAATGAGAGAGACCGGAGTGTGAGACTAGAACAGCGTGAGAGAGAGGGAGGTCAAGTTGATTTTATAAAATAAAACGTGATTTTAATGATTAAGAAGAAAAAATTGTATCACATCTTAAAAACTTCCACAAACTTATTTTACGAATTAAAATCATATTATCAGATTAAAATCTGTCTGATGATCGCGTAAGCGTGAAACTCAGAGTCACAGAAAAGTTGTCTTATTGATTTGTCCAACTTTCAGATATACCACGCTCTGCGAACGCATCGAGCACTATACCGCAAGGATAGACTATAATCAAGATTTTTGTATATATATATAAATATCGAAAACTCATATAAGTTAAATATATTTTCATAAAATTTCAAAAAAAAAAAAAAAACAATGTGCGTCGTACAGTATTGAATAGCATTAACCGGATGTTTAATGTTTGGTCTGAAGTTATTTTGTAAAGGTAGAACAGTTACATTAGGATCGGCACACATGAACTGACTAGTAGCCGCGACTCGAAGCGAGGACTAAGTCCCTTCAAATAAACTACCATTTAAATTTTTCATCAAATGGTCTAGTCGCAGGGTCCAAAACGTAAGCCTTGCGACTTGTCCCAAGAATTCAAACTGGTTTGAATTCGTGAGAAAAGTGGCAAGAACTTGTCTCCCCAAATTATGCGGGTCCCTCCGTGTGAACTGTTTATGGGATAAGTCCTTGCGAGTAAATGAACCAATCCAATCACTTTAAAAGAGAAATATAATCGCTGCGTTCCGACTGCATACTGCTAGTCATCACGAAGCGAGTAAGACTGGCGGTAAAATAATCAGCCGAAATGTCGCGATACACATCCGAAGTGACCACATCGTGAGAGAAACGATTTTATCATGTAAACTAACGGTATTAAACAAGGATTATTAGCCCTGAGAAAAGCCGTAACAACACACGTGAAAAATACGATATTTTTTCACTTTGTTTGATATCGCTAATCAGCTGCTGACACGTCACTCGCCTTTTGCGCCACTTGGTCAGGTTAATAAATGAACGGCAAAGCCTTCACCATTTTCAATTCATGTTGTTAGTCGGAATTTTCTCGTATCCTGACTGGTAAAGTACTGAAAAATCCGTATGGTTTTCAGACACTGACGTTCAAACTTTCCTAGAATATAAAGAAAATCAAATTGCGAAAAGAAAAGCCGAAAGTTACGCATTCAGTGGTTTTGGTAATGGCATTTCTCGCAGCTGAGAGCGAAAATCGACAACTAGTAGATTTTCCACGGGCCAATTTTATCAATGTAGCTGAAAGATTTGTATAGGTCATGTAAAAGTCAAAAACTGACAATTTATTTTTATATTGAAAATGACGCCCATTGTTGTTTTGTAGTGATTCAGCGCTTTTTTTTCCATATTTAGCTTTATCGCCAACGCACTTTACGATTTTTATTTGGGGATTGTCGATTCCTTTATTTTCATTCGTTAATAAAGCCGACTTTTCTCGTCGGCTAAGGGCTACTGTGTTTATAAGATAAACAAGATAATACAAGGCTGCTTGCAGATATGGAATTTCCCTTCAAGTTTCAAAAGTTCATCAAGCTTTGCATCCACCTTGCATCCACCTTCTCTCGCAACCCGAAAGGAATTCTGCGTACTTGCTGTGCCACAGGCTTCACCGACTCATCAACATGCAGTTCTTATTCGTAACCCTTCAAAAGTCCAACTCCACTAAACAAGTGCTTGTATTTCTCTCTAACATCACTGTCCGGTCGTCCACTGTCAACACTGTTGGCCTGAAAAGGACCAACACGCAGCAGGTCTAGCGCCTCGGGAGTTTCGCGACCCAACGGCGTACAACCATCCCCTTCAACCACTACGAAGTCAGCCTTGTTTCCATCTTTAAACCCAGCTTGCGTGACATCTGCCATAAAAGTTCCTAGGGTCGGTAAAGGTTCTACACCACCATAAACAAAAAGTTCTTTCAGTGGTGATAGTAACCCCTTTTATTCATTTGAAATTTCAATCAGTCGATTTTTCTAGACCTGGCAACGGAAGAAGAAGTTATTGCTATTGAAAAACGAGTAGTCAGTCACAAAAAGCTGCAGCCATGATAGTATTCCTATGTATACAATAAACAGGAAAATTTCTGAACGTTATCTCTGTCCCGTTCACACAAGTGGTTAATTTATCTATATTGCATAGCATCGTTGCAGAAAAAATGAAAATTGCCCGCGTTGTAGCCAAATTAAAACTTTGTTAGTAACGGAGCAATATTTCTCTGATGATATGCCTGTCCCGATCGTTCCTCGCTTTTAGAAATTTCCAAAGTGAATAGCTTACAGTTTAATCTTAATTAGTAGCCAATTCATTACCGAGGAAATCACCATGTTGCCGAAAACTCCCAGAGTTCGACTCAAGTATCGCTTAAGAGGCTTTCAGTCGTTTGCTTAACGATACAAGGTTACAACGGTTTTCGACGTGATCTCAACTTCTTCTAAACTGTGCGTGCTGTTGTCAAACGGCGGGAATTGTGGTCAGAAACAAATTATCGATGAGATATGTGGGAAAGTTTGTAAGGCATCGGTGGGGATATGAAAAGATAATTTAGTTTTATCAACTGAGATAAAGTGAATTGTCTATCATTCAAACTTTCCAAAGCTAGCTTTGGAAACTCTTTACAGCATTTAATCTACATTATCAACTCAGTTGATAAAACCAAATTGTCGTCGAAGTAACTGTTTTTAAACATAGATATATTATTTCAAAGCCAGCAAACCGTATTTGCAAAAACTGTGCCCCTTGGTCTTGAGTGTCGCCCGAGGTCCTAAGGCGTTACTCAAGACCTCAGGCGCAATTTTTCCCAATTCGCTTATCGTGCTGAACTAATATTTCCTCCCATAAGAATGAAATATTCTTTGTTTTCCCCAGGCCATAACGTGCTTGACGAGGTGACTTTAGGGTCTTGAAGCAGAATCAAAATGGTTTTTACAACAAGAAGTAAACTTGCAAGTTTGCTTTTTGTCCTTGGTTTAACCGCCTTTTTCTTCTGCATCTCATACAAAGCTGAGATAAGAAAAGGAAATAGCAAATCCAGAAACAACAACAGAAGAATAGGTAAGTTAATGAGTTGGAAATGATTTACAGCATTTGATGCTCGTCAGGTTAATTACAGGTTAATTGTGCCCTCGGAGTTTCAGTAACTTAATTAATTTTGTTAATGAATTTCACATGACCTTGAATTTGTTCACTTGAACATGTCGTAACATTGCATTGCGAAGGAAGGAGCTCAGATGAACAGGACCACATCATGTAAATAGGCTTCTTCAGCTTTCGGAAGCGCTTAACTTAGTCATATCTATGTGTTTGAAATTTGTTATATTACTTTTATTGTCCTTGACAGATTTTTGCCCCAGCAAGGTCTAGTATTCTGCTTGGCACAATCAGATGTCAAGTCCAAAAAGTGAAAAGAATTATTACTTAAAACGAAGAACCACTTCGTCAATACACTTTATTGTACAGTTCCGATAAACCTAGATCCATTTTTGAGCTGAGAAACTGGGCACTTTAGCCGCAAATTTGATCGAATGTATATTATCAAAGTATTCGATTTTAACGTTGCTAAAGTATGTCAACCGTCTGTATTAACACATATCCTGAATGTAAAAACATGAACTGCAGGAAAAAAAGATACTTATTATCCACATCAAAACACTCTTCAGTGTTACGGTTGCAAAAAGTCGATGCTTTTGAAAACTGTTCCGGAGGGGGCGATCCTTCCAGTAAACTAGAAAGCAAAACCAATTCAACTGCATATGTAAAAGAGCAACTTTTATGAATTTCCAACAAAAGCATGACAACAAAGATAAAAATTTATATCGTAAAATAGGTTGTGCCTATTCATCGTGGTAAGTAACACTTCAAAGAGAGAATTAGAATCGTTTGTCTCACGACATGGTCACTTCAGATGTGATTGTGTCCTTCGACGTAGAATCGTTGTTCACCAAAGTTCCGATCGACGTAACTGTAGAAGCAGCTCGGCAGAAAGTGGAAAATGATTCCAGCCCACCCAACTGCACGACATTACCACCTAGTCATATTACAGACCTCCCCAACTTGATATTGAGATCTACATACTGCCAGTACAATGGATCAATTGACAAACAGACACAAGGCGCAGCTATAAGGAAGCGCGGTTTCCGCTGTTATTGTCAACCCCTATATGGTGAGTTTAGAAGAACATGCGGTAACATCATCACCTTACAACCCTACAATACCTTCACCATCTTGGCACGTGACAGCATAGAAAACTTCCTACAGCATTTAAACCACCAACAGCCTTCCATTTACTTCACCAAGGAGACAGAGAGAAACAAAAAATTCGCCTTCCTCGACACCGCATTTACAAGAGAACCTAATGAACGCCTAACCACCAGCGTCTAAAGGAAGCCGACATAAATGATCAATATCTAGCGTATGATTCTCACTATCCGCGTTAAGTAAAGTGCAGTATTGTCGAGTGCCTTTACGAGCGTACGAAATGTCTGGTAACAAAACCTTTCGTTATCTCCAATGGGAAGAAACATTTGTCATCTGTTGTTGTTTCTAATACTTATCCTTCCTCTTTCGTGCGTAGAGTAACTAAAAACAAGACACCGACAGCCAGCACTGAACACCCACCGAGTTTAGATCCACTGCATTTCCAGAATCGAAATTAAAGCATGCCGGTTCAGTAAAACTTGTTAAGAGCGAATTTTTTCTATCACCGCGTGGGAGGTGGCACATGATCGGAAAAATCACTATCCTCATATTTCGCTCAGAGATACCTTAGGGTAAGTCTATAAAGGCGGTATAATTTTTTTTGTTCAGAGCTGTTTTTATTTTCTAGAAAATCACCAAACACTGTATCGAGCCCCAACCGCCATAAAATGGCCGAAATGAAGTCGACGAGTAGGGCAACAAAACCTTTATTCCTCAAAAGCGAAAAAGGAAGCAAGTCTTTCTGAAATTTAACTATTTTTATACGAGGTATTAAAAAATGATTTGAATCTAATAACGGGCTTGTTGACATCACTATGAATTATTGGCGGATATTTGAAAATAGCCAAAATTTGATTGATTAAAAATTACATTTTGGAGCAGTTTTTCAATAAAAAATTTTTCCTACCTGGTATAACTCGGAATCACTTGAGATGAGCATTTTTATAAATTGGAAAGAATGTTCTTTCCATGGATATAAAAATTAATTTGGGGCTCTTAATTACTGCGAAGAAGTAGCCCGGTCTATTTCGTGCAAATCGCAATGCCGCCATGAAAACAACCGCAGATAATCCAAGTAGGCTTTTTATTATCGAAACCATAATTCCAACAAAATCTTATCGCTTTGACCTATACTAGATTGTAAACTGGATTTCTTAAGCTCACCTGGCGAAAAACACCTTTCTAGGATTGGTTCCTTGCCTCAATCTTGTTATAAAGAGACTTGACAACAGCTTCGATAGTACAGCACTACAGGCGGTGTATACCAAATCACAGTGAAAACATCTCACGAAGGTTCCTGCCGGAAACGTCGCATTGCTGGACAGTTATAACCATATTTCAGCTTGGAACACTCACATTTTACAAGTCTTCCTTTCACAATAAGAATGGAAGTTTGTTTTTTATAGAACGAGCCAGAGCATCCTGACAGATGAAATGAATCACTGACGTTCGTTTTTTGCGATGGTGTCACGCAATAACATGTCACTCGAAAGGAGGCTCGGTTACCAATACGCTCTTATTTTCTTTCCTTCTTATCCCCTATTTTTTATTTCCGGGAAAAAGTTTTAAATCCAGAATTTAAAATTACCGTTGTTTGCATTTTTTAAGCGCGATACCACTCATGCGTCACCCTAGACTGCTAAATGAATTAGGTATATGTTACTACAGCATAGAGGAAATTTCACTGCATTAATTTTTAACCACGTAAAAAATGTATTATCATATCTTGTAAATTGTGACGGCTTGCAGGGTAGACAGGTGCGGGAGTGGAAAAATTAAATTGGGAGTAGCTTTCTAAAATACTCAGCGCTAAAAAAATAAATTAGATTAGGCACAGTTTCTAACCATATAATGAGCGTCGCGCCATAAATTTTCCAAAGCAAACTAAAATGGTGTTTTCGTTTGGCCGCCGATTTTTTTAAGAGGTGAGCGTACCAAATGGAAATCAATTGCACCTTTTAAAGATTAGTTGGGGGATGCTGCTCCCAAGATAAGCGAAGTCGAGTTGCAGGAAGAGCTTCTCTTATAGTCCCTCTGCGCTTATGTGAGAAAGACATCTCAGCATACAAACAGGCTGTGGGCGTGAATGATGTTGAATCGGAAGTCGATCTCATTTTAGCAGGGGCATCGATATTCACGTTGCCTTCCAATATTTCGGACATGACTATCTGCCCAGCCCATCGCTCCTCTTTGGGCATTGGATGGCGAAGAGGCTCGCAACGGTGCCGTGTTCCATCCGAATTATCGAGGCATGCCAAGGAAGGGAAATCACGAAAGGGTGACCGTAGTATAAACAAAGCGCTTTCGAAGGCAATCCTTCGACGCACGGGAATATTCCTCCCTGTTGGGTCTGGTAAGTCTTTGTAATGTTGTTAATTTACAATAGGAAGCTATGACAAACAGGACAAGAAGTTACTAGTAAATAAAAATTGGCACATTTAAATTAGTACTACCACTGAAGCACACATTTAACCAGCCATTTAATTTTGTAGCGTGAGCTAGTTTAATCAAATTATTTTTTATCAGTGCGGTTTTTTTTTGGTTAACTTCTTGTCGCCAACAACTAATACACCTCTTTCCTTATCTCACCATGCGGGGCCTGGGACCGAGATATTTATTTTGGTCAGGGGCTCAGGGCCACTCACTACACCGCAAAACCGCTCTTAGGGAAGAGTGATGGATAGATTTAGTGGACGTTGTTGCATGTTGCGTTGTTGGTGCGAGGGGACGGGCAGGTGATTTGAAAAGCGAAAGGGAGGGTAGGATTAAAAAACTGTTTTTGTCTCTGTCAATAGACCATTTTACAGTTCTGTGATATTTAACCAGGCCTCTGTATGAAAGCGAGGTTGGTGTTGACCTTGACACGATAGAGATCAAAAACTGGTTAGCATAACAATTAAAGGATTTGCATATCAAAAGTAACAGGGTTTGTATCAAAACAAGGTCAACTTGAGCCTAGCTTCCACTCAAAGGCTTGGTATCTAAGCACGCAACTGTAAAAGGGCCTATCCAAGCCCGAAAATTCCCCCAGGCATTCTCATTCTTATTCATTTTCGTTCGTTCGTTCGTTCGTTGGTTTATTCATTCTCATTCCCCTACCCCAGTGTGGGGCCTTTTCCAAAGACGATCAGCCCGGTTAGTGAAGCATTGTCAAAAACAACGTGATCTTTTCAGTCAACTCTCGTTACAACGAACACCCTCGGGACGTCGTTTAGTGTCCGTAATACAGTGGAACCCCGATATAACGATCCTCGATATAACGATCCTCGATATAACGATATTCCCGGTATAACGATGAATATTCTATGTCCCTGCAAATGTTACAGTAAACTGTATGGGACAGAACCCCGATATAACGATCTTCGATATAACGATATTCCCGATATAACGATGAGAATGAGTACACAGTACACAGTCACAATGTAAGCAAAACATTGAATTTAATACAGTAACCGAGCATCTGTAAAGTTTCCGTCGATAGCTTCTCTTTGACTCCTTTTACCCCGATATAACGATATGTTTGGTTATTTTTCAGCATTATCGTTATATCGGGTTTTCACTGTAGTGAGAGTCCGTAATGCTTGGAGTCATTTCCAGACAAACCTCTTTTGTCGGGGATCTGAATTTTGTCCGTAATAGCGAATGTCCGTAATAGCGAGGTGTCCGCAAAGCGAGAGTTTACTGTAAATGGTTCTGCCCCAACACTGTACAAATATTTGCACTGTTGTTTCCGTGTGCAAACGAGAGATGAAGCAAAGAAGAACGCCGGGAAGCAAAAGAGTTGCAGTTTTAGATGTTAAAAAGCGATTGAAGCTGTTGCAGGCTCCAGTCGTTCTAATGAAGTTACATTTATTTGGGAATGATTACTTGTATGCGTGAGCTTGCCTCACCGTGGGGCATTTTCCACATTTTCAAAATCAAAAGACCAATGCCCCGGGGGATGAGCGGGCTTGGAATTGACTGAGCCATTAGTATTGATAAATTAGTTTTACTTTACGAACAGTTTGATTATAATTTATCATTTTCTTGTGTGTGTAGGAATTTGTCGTGACTGCAGGACGGCCATTGTTCCGGATACCAAGATAACGGTTACAGAAGCCTGTAGCTCAAGCATAGCTGGCATTGCAAAAGGAATTGAAAATGTTTCTTTGGTGAGCCACTTTAGTGACAGTACGTAGTAGTTTCAGTAGTTTTCACATGTATTTTCGCGGTGAAAGGGCATTATCAATTGCGATTTTAAGAAAATTTGTGATTAAACATGACCTGTTTTCTGATAGACACCCACTTGTGTAGACTTGCATAAACTTACTATGGGTTGTATCTTATTTGATCACGTTGAGATTTCAACGCAAGGAGTTATCCAGCAGTTTCGTTTGTTTGGCAAAACAATCTCCATCATTTATGAATAGCGCTATCAATATTAAATAATTACATTCAAGCCGATGCACGACATTGGAAGTCAATTCATGTAAGTTCAGACTTCCTACTTGTGCTGGCCTCCATCTCGTTTTTTCTATTACTTCTCACCGTGCCTGATGTTTCAGAATTTGAGCGCCAGTGTAGCCCAGTCAAATAAAGCATTTGGAATTAAACACGTTATGACTTTCTACCAAGTTACATACTTATGTTTTCTTATTTCTCTGAGAAAAACAGAAACGCAAAGTAATACTAACAGTAAACACCCGCATACAAGAACACGTGGATTAAGAACATCAGGCTAAAAATTGGGCAATTAAACACCATTTATATACTGAAGAACAAATTCAGCCTGAAAAATAAACATGTTCTTTATGTTTAAAAAAGAAAAAGGATACCAGAAAAAGAAAGCTGGTCTAGAAAAACTAAGAAAATTCGTGTTTACTTATATCATTGATAGTATTTATTTACTTTTAATTTTAATTTTTTTTAGTGCAAGTAATGAAAAATTGTATGGTAATTACACCTCTAGTGATGTATAATGTATACTATTTCTGAAAAAATTTTAAGAACAATTTAATAACACTTTCAGGCTGATTTCCACTAAACACCCATTAATCAAAAACACTATCAGCCAGAAGCCCGGAATCAATGTTCTTATATTCAGGTGTTTACTGTACACGCGTGGTTACATTTGTAGGACGAGGGGGAGGATTACGCTGGTGTTCCTCACAGTACTCCCATAACACCAGGAGGAAGTTTTCTAC